GCAATGTCGAATAGCTTCTCGATCTGCAGCGCTGTTAGCTAACGTTTGGCATGACAGATAGGGCAAAACGTGGCAAGGGTGTAGGTGGAGGGACGGACCAGCCAGTTTGGCTAGTCAGGGCATGGACGTCAGAGATAGACATTGCCTAGTGCGGCGCTAGTGCGATCGAAATACAACAGGGATGGTTCCAGCGAGAGATGGAGGGGCTCGAACGGAGACAATCTCCAGCTTCGGGGCTGACGAGCAAAAATATGAAAAAGTGCTTACCAGTCCTACGCCGTGCATTTCCATGGCTTGTTGGGAAAATTGGTGCGAGATAGTGAGAAGGTCCCTGGCGATTTCGATGGGGTATTTGAACGTGAGGGGGATGTCATTTGACACGCTGCTCACAAGGCCCTGGCAAACACTTAGTTGCCATGCCTGTGATCGCAGCCATTGTTGTGTGATGCGAATTTGAACTTCTTGGACTTCTGTGCACTCAAAATATGCGGGGACGGCCTCTGAAAGTTGGGTTTGGACTTGCGTAATCCATGCCGCGCTTGCATGTGTGTTGTGCACTCGATTCCAGAGGTTGATGAATGTGTCGTCTATGATCTTGAACATGTTGATCATAAGTTCCAGTCCAACGGCAATGGGTCGATCGGAAGGAACCTCGTCTAGCGAAGGCGGGTGGATGGTTGGATGTAAGGTAATTGGGCGATGTTTGTGTAACGCATATGTCCTACAAGCAGTTAGTTGCGCGCACTGAGGAGACATCTCGACTTGTAGTTATACCTTTCAGCTATGAAGAGCAGCCAGTACAGAACTCGTTTGCGTGATATATCGAGAGGGTCGTGTTTGTAGGTCTCCTCATCATGCATACCAAGTAGCTGCGCTTGTGTAGTAGCATCCCGGAGGTATGTCCATGCTGTGTTCTCGCGCGCCAGTCCAAAGTAGCAGCCACTGTAGAACCATGATGTGAGCACGCTGTAGTGAGTGGGATTCTCGCGGTGATCGTAGCCTTGTCGTACACGGACTGACTCTTCCAGCAGGACATGGCCGATGCCGACATTTGACATGTGGGCCATTTCTGGTCGTGGTAGTACGCTGACGGGTGGCTTGTGGTTGGCCTGAATCATGACGTAGGCGCATAGTGCAACCACCATACAGTATGCCTCTGTCGAGCGGTCCATACCGACTGCGGCTTCTTGCGCTCTTTGGCGATGCAAGACAGGCTCTGAGGGGTAGACATGGGCGAAGAAGTATTCTATGCAACTCTCAACGAGAGCGGGGGGCATAAGGCCCGGTGTGCGAGCAAATGTCGAGGATAGTGTCCGGCCATCGAATCCAAGATCGGTTGGGAATCCGGCAGCAAGTTGGGCATTGCGTTGAGTTTCGCGAAGTTCAGATAGGACTTTGGCGCGGCTGCCTTTAGGGCCTTTCTTCTGTGGGATGGCATTGTATGTGCATGCAAGGCCAGCAGAGACGCAGTTCTTGCAAGGGGCAGTGCCTTCACCAATGCATTTGACCTTTCTTCGGTGACAGCTACGAGAAAGAATGAGTAGTGTGGCATGTGAACGTGTACCGACGATACGTACCTATCGCAGGCTCGCTTGACCGGAGCAGTTGTGGTAGGAGTGGAAGCCATGATGGAGTGCAAGCTAGTGTGGGAACGTCTCGTCATCTACTTGATGAGGAATGCAGTCGCCGAGCGGATCCGCTGGTTCCTATTAGTACAACAGACATGTTGCGCCTACACTCGGGGAGATATCATCGAAGGTTCCTTGTGTCATTGTGCTTGAATGAATGCTCATTCGCACCTGGTTAACCTGGACGATTGAGAAGCCCAAGCGTCCAAAGTGCATATTAGACTCAACTAGTTAGCATCACTGCGCCAGTCGACATGGGGCTGATAGCTCGCGAGTCCAATGATGCAACATGGAGAAGCGGCCTGCGTCCCTGGTTCCACGGCTGGGGAAAGAGTCTGCAGGGCAGCGCGTCGGACGCCGGTCAAACGCCTACCACACGGTCGCAAGCCATGGGGCTTAGGCGGTCTGGTGGGCTGGACCTTGCTTGGAGAAACATCCTAGGCTGACCGCTGGGCATGCTGCAGCGATGGCACGGGCGGTTCTTGCAGAGCGACGGGAGCTTCGTTAGTGCCATACTAGGGTGACCTGTAACTAGCCGAGATTCCCCCGTTGGGCTGTTATGGGCAGGTATTCCGTAATGGATGTCCTAGGGTTTTTGTGATCATTTTTTCCAAGTGCTGATGCGCGCGCGAATATGTAAAGGGTACTGTGCACTCAAATTGTGGCAATTTTGACATGGCAAGGTTGAAAGGGCTCCGTCCATGACGCTACTCGGTTTCCATGGCGGAATCTTGGGCTCTGAACATTGTACCTGACAGGACTCATGGCCTAAACTCCGGACTGACCGCTTCCCGAACATGAATTTCGGTACTGACTGGGCATGTCCCACGGATGGTAGAGAAACGGGGCGATGGCGCCGACAATTGCTCCATACTCAGAGCCTTCATGTGCGCTTCATTGGCGGTATGGACCGGTGCTTGCCGCAATCGTCGTCATGCCACCCAACAAGCAGGACAGAGCTCATGCATCTGGTTTGGAGGAAGATAGACTGTAGCCATAATCCGATTTCGTATTCGATGGGTAGTTTCAGCGAGGCGCAGCTGGTGATGCGTTGGTAAGGTTCGCGGGAAAACCCCCTGATAAGCGTAGCGAGTGAGGGTTGCATCGGGATGCCGAATTCGCCACGAGGCGTTGTCGACAACTGTGCTTCTCCGTACAGGACAGCAAACACAGAGTTCTTTGTACTGGGACAGTAGCGACTCCCTCATGGCTTATATCCTCTGTCCTAAAGGGCCTTTTGCGGTCTCCACCGTCGGATCGAGACAGTCAAGGTTCCGAGATGCTGCCGGCAGCGATCAAAATTGGTTCAACGGCGTCGAGACCGCGAATGGGAGAGGCTGGACCCGCCTCCAAAAGTAGGTTTGCCACCAGCGGCATCATGCGTACGCCACACGTCACTGCTCATAGGATAGTAATACAACCATCTGAGAGAAACTTAGAAGTTCGCGAGAGAAGTCTTGGTAACGTGTGAATAAGCGATGGTGTTGAGGCTTGTCGTAGATCCGGGGAGCTGGAATTATGTGTCTCCCTCGTCTATGCTCCGCTAGCGGCAGCGCCATTGGTAAGATTCGTGATGCTTGGCATAGGCTCCGCGGAGGACACAAGGCAACGTCACCCGTTAGCATGAACGTGGCGTTCTAGAGCGTGCAGCGTGCATTGTAGCTTCCTCAAAGTATAGACATGCGTTTCACGACGAAGCAGCTTCGATAGCAACATCGTGGTGTGCAGCACCGTTAATCGGACAGCGTCTCCTGATGAAGAAGTCATCATTAGTAGGACTTGAAGAGATATCTTCAGGCCGTCCGTCCACCCATGCTGGCTGACTCATGTATCTTGGGGCGGCAGATCAAGAACTGCATACGGCAATACGTCCGTTGTGTTGTTGTCGCATGCGTTTGACGAAGAACGTTGAGAATCCTCGGGAGTCAGTGCCTTGAGCTCAGACTGCCGTCTCTCGAAGTGGTCTCTTGATTGTAGCATTAAATCGGTACTTTACAAGCGTCATAGTAAAAGCAGCTCATGGTTGTATCACCGGATGTTTGTCTATCACCGCACGAAATCAGTCTTGGTATGCCAATAGATGATCATGTACTTACCTGGGTACTTTGCTCGGCCGAACCGAGAAAAATGGTCGAGCTACATCTTGCATCCTGAATACCTTGCTCGACATTGACTTACTGTAGTCTGCGTTCTCGAGCTTGGTTGGTTTTATTCCAGAAACTTGATCCGGGGACCTTGGACAGTTTCGATATTTACCAAGTACCTGCGTGAGGTTTCTTGTATAGAGTGATTGAGTGCGTACGTGTGTCTTGGGTGATGTTGTAGCGAGAGATGAGGACAGCTTACCATGCTGCGCCTGAAGTAGCCATCTCCATGCTCAACCATGGTACCTAGGTAGTCATGATGATATCCAACCAAGGTACTTAGGTGTTATGGTAACAACAGACTTTGCAATGGCTGTGCGATGACTTGTTTGAATAAGTCATACAGTGTCGAATTATCAGTATCATGATGTATGTATAAAGACACCATTATGTTCGCGAGAGGACGCCCTATACGTTATTCTGGGGTCCAGCTTATTTTTTTTTGGATGAAGACTTAGGCGTACCTTAACTCTCACAAATTTCCCATTCACGAAGCACTCTTACTCGAACCCAAAGCACCGATTCGGGCATCATTTCGCCAATGCTAGGCTCAAACAAAAAGCGGAATGTTTCTCATGACATCAAAAAAAGCAAATGTCGAGGCATGGAAGTAATCTAGAACACCAAATACTTTCATCATAACCTCCAGCCTAGAGTATACATGCTAATTCCCAACGATAAGGCCTACCAGTGCTCGATCTTCTGTACAATATTTTGGCCGTCATCGATCTTAGTGCCGTTAACTTGATTAGTACCTGCTCATGTCACCACAGCTTCTACAATACCCTACCATTATGCAATCTTTCGTCGACACGAGCAAGATCAGACCCTTCGAGAACAGAGCACATGGTCTGCTGACGTATGACTATCCACCTACGATTAGCTACTATACGGCTAGTCAAGTTTTGTGGTATAATTTGTTGATCATGGCCTTAGTTGCCAGTGGCGCGTTGCAATACGATGTGTGTCAAGATGCATCGTCCATCAAGTTGCAACATAAAATCAGCAAAGACGAATACTTATACTACACCGAAGCGCAGATGGATACATGTATATAAAAGCTATGCTCAATCTATTTACGCATCATCACCAGCAGCATGTGATGCTCATGACGCTGAATCTGCGGCAAGGTTAAACGGCCAAAATTTGATATCCAGAACGCCAGAGAAAATGCAACTCGCGATATCATCCTTTGATACCTTTGTTCCTCATCACCATCAGACAGTCGTTATGAAAACTCAACGCGACTTCCTCCTAACCTAGCTTGCTTAGCCTGTGCGCGCTCTGCTCTCCGCCTGCGCCTGTTGGAATCGTAATTACTAAGGTCCGTTTCCGTGCCATTGCCGTAGATAGGACTACCGCTCAAAACAGTGTCCGCCGCTGGGATCGGCGGAGGAGGTGGGATGTTGCCGTAGTCCGGAGATAGGTTTTGGTTGTTACCGAACATCGGTGGTGGACCTGGTGGAGGAGGAGGAATGTTGGCCTCGGGCATGCGTAAGGTGCTCGAACTAGGCATGGGCATAGGCGGAGGCACTCCAGATTGCTGTGCCATCTCTTGTGCTTGTGCTGCCTCCATGGCTTCCGTCCTGCGCCAGCGGTCTCCTCCAACGCCACTCAGTGAACTGACACTACCAGCGCGGTTCTTTCGACGGTCCTTCCTCCTTGCCTCACGTTCTGCTGCTGCTTCTTCTTCGTTTAGTCGTCGTAGGGTGACATGTCGACCGTCATTGTGCATCTTGACTTTCACCGATACAGGAGGAGATGCCACGTCGTCTCTACTACCGCGGCGCTCCTTCTTCGAAGGTGATCCAGCAGAAGTCACCGTGCCTGCTGCAGCCGCACCAGCGGGCAGCACAGGATTGTCTCCGGTGCGACGTCGGCTATGGTGACGGCCTCCAGGAGAGTCATAGGCTTCGGATCCAGAGTCGGACAGGACACTATATACACCAGCGCGAGGAGGACGACTAGGGTTGGGCGTGACGGTAGACTCCATAGGTCGGGGTGGACGTGGTGCCACTGAAGGTGTAATCCCGGTCATGTCGCTGTCAGACAGAATAGTAGATGGCGGTCTGTTGCCTCTCCTCGGCGTTCCATCGCCCGTGTATTTCTTACGACGTTGGCTGTTCATGCGAGCGATGCGTTCTTCTTCTTCATCCTGTTGCCTCATCTCTTCCACACGCTCGTCTTCCTTCTTCTTACTGCGTCTGCTCAGAGAATGCTTCAGGAAACCAACCACACCAAGCGAAGCGACTCCTTCCTTAAGTCCATATGATCGATCCCTAGGTCTCATCTCGGTCTCTTCGCTAAGACTGGTCCGACTATCGAAAGAGTCGATCGATGTTACACTTCCAGCTGGACGATGACCACTCCGTAGATTACTTCCAGACATTGCCGATGCTTGCGGATTGTCACGACGCCAGTTGTCTCGACGGTTTGCCGGAGACTCAGGCGCTCTTCCTTCTTCAAGTCTAGAAAGGTCGGTCTGAGTGACTTCGGAGGGTTCAATTGGGCGGCTGTAACTGAAGTCGCTTCCTGTCTCTGTTGGAGGATGCTTTGGCTTGCGAGTGAACAGCTTCTTCACGGCGAAGATGCCCCCAGCCGCGGCACCGGCCCCTAAAAGACGGTCTTTCCATGTGGAACCCTTGTTGCGATCACCACCGTATTTTTCGTCGCTCAGGTAGGATTCCGTGAACTCAGAATCGGCGACACGAGAACGTGAATCACGCCGAGAACGAGAGCCAGGACGTGAACTGATCACTGTACCGCCACGTCGGCTGCGAGTACGGCTTCGAGATCTTCTTGACCCCAATGCGGCTAATCCTGCACCGGCTGCACCGGCTGCTGCAAGCTTTCCAGCGCCAGGCCCTCTACTCGTCCGCCGGCTTCTCCTGGTACTGTAGGTCATATCGGTTACGTATGTGCTACGATCATCAAAGTCCATCTCTGGTTGGGTCCTGTACGAAAGGACGAAGTAGAGGACCACTAGGATGAACGTCCATATGGCAAAAAGGATGAACAAAGCTAGCGGTGATCCATAGAGAGTCAAACCCAGGGGAACCTGGGCAATTCCAAGGAGTGCGATAGTACGGCCTAGCCATTGGTGGATCTGGACATGTCAGTAATTGTTGAGATGACTCGTGTCTTGTACATACCATAAGTTTGAGAGGAATCTTGAACCGTTCCTTGCCCTTCTCTAGTCTGTGTATGACAGAGCCACCTAGAGCTTGCACCATGACAAGAGTATATAGCGCAACGCCAATGCCGTGATGCGGGTTGGTCAGGGATCTTTCGAGGCCGACAGCCTGGAAGCTGCAGATGATGGCAGCAGTTGAGAGAAGAACTGCCAGCACTTGCAACCAGATGTGGACTCGCAATGCGGTTCGCGGGTTCCGATGGTAGAAGCTAGCCATAAAGATAGCTGCCGGTATCACGAATAGGAAAGCAATGGCAGCTAAAACGCCGTGCGCTGTGATGAGAGCCTTGTAGCCGGCCATGCTACGGAAACGATTGCCCATGCCTACAAGGTCAGCGGATACATTCTTCTTCTAAGGGCGTGTCTTCTCACCATTCAATCGCATCGTCTCAAAGTTTGGGCCTTGCAAGTTGGGCAGCAGAAAAGTGTTGCGCTGCGAATCCCATGTTCCGTCTCCCACGTGCATTGTGGCCGAGTCGTAGACACTCGACCCCGGATCCGAAAGTCCAGACATTGTTGCGGCGAAGACTCGTTTCCAGATCAAAGGCGAATTCGTTCAGAAATAGTCGTGAGATAGATGCGTAAGTCGTTAAACACACCAGGCTGACGGACGAGGTAACGACAGAAAACCGGAATCTCGCTAACAACGCAGGCAAGCAACGATGAACTGGAAACAGAGAGTCGTAACGTCGTGACAGGCGTAATAATAGCGAATGTGAGCCTTGCGCCGTAGAGCAATTACACGCAGGCTGAGACCAGGCGGTGGTGTGGTAGTGTAGAGCGTGTCCGTGTGGACAGCTCACGGTGGTGGGGGAACGTCAGCTCCTGTCGCCACCGTACGGTTCGACGTCGTCTGGGCGAAGAGGTTTGCGAGGAATGCAGGTTGCGAAATCTTGTCCAAAGCAATGCAGCTGCAGATGTCACGAAAGGATGGAATCGGTAGCCAGCTCAACTAGCTCGTCGAGGGATCCACCTGCGCCTATGTTTATGGGTCGAATGGCCTGGCAACGTAATCGATAGGTCTCTGGCGGTGAGTGGCTGGGGCTGGCCAACCACAACGCCCCAAACCCCTGCACCCAGCCGCCCAGATTATGTTTCAACGCGAATTTCTGGTTTTCGAGGCCGATTAGCTCGCGCGTCCCTTGAACCGCGATGCGTTGGCAATGAGGCGAACGGGCACTAGGACTTTTAGGCTTGTCGGCATGTTCAACCCCGTGTTCGCAGGTGCATTAGGAAGGAGACTGTGCAAGGAGAAAAATTTGTTCCAAGTGGTATCTCGAGTCCGTAACGCCGGGAGAGACACATCACATACACGCTCATCACAAAAGACGTCATCCTTCAACCTCCAGCATTTCCCTTAGCGCCTTTTCAGACGCTCGGAGCCATCTGCCTCTCTCCTCGAGCTCATCTCCGATCCCACCGCCTTCTTCCTTCCGTCTCCGGGCCTCTTTGGCTGCCGCTACGGTTCCCTGTTTCTGTGTCTCTAGTGGTCTCAGCTCACGCTCGAGCTTCTCCAAGTCTCTGGTCCGGTTTGGGATGGTAGCTTGGAGACTTGCTATTTGCGCATTCAGGGCTGCGAGTTCCGCTTCTCGTTCGCTGAGTACTCGCTGAGTTTCAGGAAGTGGCAGAGACAACTCAGGGTTCTTTGCTACTGGTGTTTGGTCGTTCTTCAACTGCGCAAGTCTCGCCTCGAGGCCTGCAATCTCGGCTGGAAGTGACTCAAGCTGTTGTGTGCGTAGTTGCAGCCCCTCGTAGCGCAACGCAAGCTCTTTTCCCTTGTCCTCCAGCTGCTTCAAGATCTCGGCTACTTCTAATTTGCGCTCCTTGAGCTCTGCTTTCAGAGCCAGTATCTCTCTCTCCTTCTCATCGTTCTCCGGAGCCTCGACTAAGCGGGGTGGGTTTTCCGTTATGCTGCGCAGGAACTTCTCTTTGGTGACCTGTTCGACATAGCTGAAGCGTAGTTTGCTGAAGAGTTCCTGCATCCTTGGTCAGACGTGAATTCTTGGTAGGGTCGCGGAAAAACAAACTTTGTAGTGGAGCAGATCAGCTTCAAGGGCTGCCGGGTGGGTGTCGCCGTTCTGTTCGCTGTCCTCTGATGCTGCAGAATTGCGCTTCTTCTCAGCCTGTGGGAGATCCTTTGGCGATAATGTTTCGGCAATCGCCAGAAGCTTCAGCGACTTGGATTGCTGTAACTGTTCCAGGACTGATTCCGGTATTGGCGGTGCCGATTTTCGTTTAGGTCCCATGTTGCTCGTCGTATGTATGTTAATTTGTAGAGGGATTGAATGTTTGTTTGGGCAATCGCGACTGCCCGCGTAGGGCTGAGTTCCCCGCGGCGACTACCGCATGCAGCTAGCCCGGCCCGTCGCATGGCCCGGAATGATTTCACATGGCCGTCCAGGGTTCTCGGGAGCCCAGACTTCAGCGACTCTTCCATCCACCCACACAACAGCCGCCGGTAATGGCGCGCGACATAGATGACGATGCATACGTTGCAGAACTACTCAAGCAAGATGCGAAGAAGGTCACAAAGACATATGAGCTTGTTGGCATCGATGCCTTCAATCCGAGGAGGTGCGTTACAAGCTTCCGTACCCACGATGCCGTTGCATACGCGTTGAAAGTACACAAGCACTCGTTTGCGGGATTTCTCAGGCTCACATCCACAGGATGAATTCTCGCGCGCCGAGACCGAACAAGAACTTTTTGCAACACCTCATTCGCCAGACTGATAGCCACAATACTGCGCTCCTTGCGAAAGAGGCGGAGGAGTCACGCGCCCGGCTTAGGAAGATGGACCGCGACCGGAAAAGGGCGGGCGGTCGCGAAGAAGACAATGGCAGAGGCCCCGAAGGACGGCTGACCACAGCAGCAAGCGACAGTAACGGCCCTGACGCAACGCCACGCAGACGGCGAGACCGAAGTGAGGATAAGAGCAGGCATAGGAGAGAGCATAGAAACAGGGAACGGGATGCTTCGGCGGGTGCATCATCCCGTCGACATCGAGACAGAAGTGGAGATGAGTATCGGCATAAGAGAAGACATGATAGTGAAGAGGAAGACCGTTCCCGTCGGAAACGGATACGATCGAGGACTCCCCGAGACAAATCGCGCAAGGACAAGTACAATGAAGAGCAAGAGCGTTGGAGACCTCGAAGGAGAGACGACACCGAGTGCAAGCAAACAAGGCACAGGTCGTATTCTAGAACATCTTCGCCATCACGGTCACGGCATAGCGAAAGACATAGGAGACGTAGTAGGCATCGAGACCGAACTCGTTCTCGAAGTCCAAAGCAGAAGCACACTAACACCAATTCGCATGAGTACGACCGACGTTCCAATAAACGACCCGCCTCCCCAGCATCCGACTCTGATCCCCTCGAAGCTATCGTAGGCCCAATTCCACCACCTTGTGAACCCACCGTACGTTCCAAAGGACGTGGTGCTTACAAAGCAAATAACATGGGCATCGAATCGCGATTCTCTTCCACCTACGACCCCTCCACAGACGTTTGCGTAACCTCCGATGTGGAAGACGACTGGGGTGATGCTCTGGAAGCCTTGCGCGACCGTACCCGCTGGCAGCAACAAGGCGGTGATCGACTCAAGGCCGCAGGATTCACAGACGCGCAGGTGAAGAAGTGGGAAAGAGGAGACACACAGAATGAGGAGGATGTGGTGTGGACAAGCAAGGGCCAGGCGAGGGAGTGGGATCGAGGCAAGGTCTTGGATGAAGACGGAGATGTCGAGCTCAAGGCTGATTTTGGGCGGCTGAAGTGAGATTTTGAGCTGGCAGGAATGTGGATGACACATCGATTTGATAAAATACTGATACCTCTAATTCCAACTCGAATCGATGTTTCCGTACTCTTCCAAATCACTCCCAGTGCCTGCCTAGCAAGCCAAGTGCCTTGTCGTCCATTAGCTTCCATTGCCTCTCATCATAAGATGCATTAACGGAGTCTGTGTCCGGAAAATTCAGATCGCTACGCAGAGTCTCGACTTCGGCTTTGTCACCCACGACCGTACTATCGTCGCCGAATTCAGAGTGCGGATGTCGACGGGCAGTATGTACAGATTGTGTCTGCAGAAGCGCATTGTTCTTGCTACTACTGCCACTGTAGTTACCAGACTGGGAAATTTGGGGTGGCAGTAGGTAAACATCTCGAGTAGGCAATTCATGGCCATGTAAGAGTAAACGCGGACGGACCTCGAGCTCAACAGCGTTTGCGGGATGTGGTACGGTAATGTGGAAGATTGGTGTACGACCTGGTTTGCTGGCTAGTTCAAAAGCTCCTCTGCTTGCTGCTGCTGCTGCTGCTGCTGCTGCTGCTTCTTTACCTTCGACTTTATGATCTCTTCGAACGATATCCGAATTGGAACTGGAAAACCCTGGCCATAGTCTTGGCGTGGTTTGGTGGTCTGTTGCATTGTTCCTTCTCAATACGTCTTCCAGTGGCCAACCAATCGTGAGGTGCTTTTCCATTCGCTCTATGTGCTCACTAGAGTCATCAAGAAAATTGCCCCTGTTCTTCTTGCTAAGTATGACTACAACAAGGACAATGACAAGGCTAGCGAAAATGGCACTGATAGCGATAGATGCAGGTTCAATGTTGGGATCATGTGAAGAAGCAGCAAAGCCGGGAGGAGGTGCAAGCCATAAAGTCGGCAGCGAAATGGCTACCAACGACATAGTGAGAGTTGAGTTGTTGTTGTTGTTGTTGTTGGTGGTGGTGCTCTAAAGTCGTAGAAAGAGAATAGAACTCTCTGCGGTGTAGGTAATTATGATGTATTAGAAAGTGTATATGAGCCCTCCATAATCAATACATGCAAACGTCATAACGCACACTTCACGTCTAATGCACTGATATCGCCCCTTCACGCCTTCAATCTTCCTTCTTCGCGCGTCGATCGACTGTCGAGGCCTCGACGTCCACCTGCAACGTATGCGCATCGTCCGACGTCTTTCCGCTGCCTTTTCTCTTTCTCAACTCTGCCATAGAAATTGGTGGCTCGGTCTTTCTTACTTCTTCGTCAGGTGAGCTCATCTTGCGCATCTCCGACTCCAGTTTCATGGCTAATCTTTGCAGCAACCACTGGGGCTCGGATTGGTTGCCCATGAGCGGACTGCGAATGCCGAGCCAGCTCCATGCGAGCTTCTTTCCGTCATCTGCAGAGCCGATATCAGGGGCCTCACCGTCGTCGTGATGAGCGTTGGCTTTGGGTCGTCGATGTTTGGAAGCGTCGTCTTCGTCTTGACCGATTAAACGCAAGTAGTATTGCCACTCATGGTACTCGTACTGTTTCGACGACGAACTCTCAACGTCCTTCATCAGTTTCCGAACCTCCTTTGCGAGAACGAAGTGATAAAATCGGATATCACGCTCAAGATAGTCTCCATGCTCGTCCGCCTCCTGTGCTTTTCCAAGCTCCTCCTCTTCAAGGTACGCTGCTAAGCGGTCATTGGTGCGTTGTTCATTTGGACTGATAGGACCCTCATGGTAGCCCACTCTTTCCTCTTCACCGATCTTGCCGGATTTAATCCTTCTCCATCCGACTTTAAGTGCGGCGCTCAGTCCTTCTTCATCTGGTAGGACCGTGAGTGAACCCAGCCAGATAGTAAAGTCTTTGAAAGCCTTAATGACTGTATCACCCATGTTCGAAATAAGAATCGTCAGTGTTGGGACTGCGAGCAAACTCCAAAACACCATGAAGGCTTTCCCGGCATTGCTTTGGACGACATAGTCTCCGTAACCAATTGTGAGGAGAGAAACATAGGCGTAGTATAGCGCCACGAAATAGGTAAATCCCTGAGGCTTTTCCGAGTACATGAAGACCAGAGCGCCCAGAAACCATAACAGAAGTGCGGCAGTGGTTGACAGAGCCAATGCAGTATATCTTCTCTTCCGCTCGGACAGCGTTTGAACACGCCGCATTATACGAAACTCTTGCTCTCTTCTTTGAGCTTCTGTCAACCCTTTTGAAGAGAAATTGACCTTTTCAAAGATTGAGATGCGTATGGTATGTGTGTCACCATCGATAGAATCGAGGACCCTCTGTCTCTTAACTTCCATGAATCGAGCAGCCATCTTTTGTTTTCCATGCTCTAGAATGAGGGATCGGATGGAACCAATAACCAAACCAACTGTGACCAAGCCACCAATTGCATACGGAATCAAGAGTGAGCGACCAGTGTGTGTTTTAGGCACAAATTCTCCACCGAATCCTATCGTTAGGAGGGTAAAGTTGGCCCAGAACACAGCGTCCAGGAACATCCAGTTTTCTACGTAGGAGAAGATCAGAGCGCCAACAAGCAGGTACACCATGAAGGCGATAGTCTGCAACATTAGCGTCCTCTGACTAGCTGTCAATCGAAACTCCCTGGCGTAATGCCCTTTGTACGCCCCAAAGGCAGTAAAGGCCATAAGAGAGGCGATGATGAAGTAGATGCCGGCAGCTATAATAGCGTAGTAGAATGCTTGGCTCAGGGCATGCTCTTCCATAGGCTGAATCCGAAACACGGATGATGAAGCGACAGCCACAAGCGCCATCAGAAGGAAGCCAGCTAGATAGAAGCCAATGATGGTAATAGGCTGCGCAATTTCGAAAGTCAGTCTCCTTGACATGTTGAGGAGCAGACTGATGTTCGCGCTCAGAGCGAAGACAAGAGAGACTGAGTTGACCGCGATAAGCCATTTCGGATCTGTGATCTTCGATCCATGTCCCTCGTCGCTTCCAGGAGGAATATACACTCTCCATTTTTCAACCAGCGCGCAAATCGAAAATCCGTTGGCGATAGGCCCGAATGTTCCTGCTATGAGGGGGCTCGCTGTGGACGCGAACCACCATTGACTGAATTCGTCAGCGTAGGCGAAGCGGGGCCGGGGTAATGGGGAACATAACTTGGATCGAGATATTCTCGCTCTTCCTGCTCAGCTTGATCGTCCTCGGCATGTACTCTGTTATTTACATCTTGCGCTGCCTCTGTGGCTGGCTCATCAAGGCCGGGATCGTTCATGATCAGTCAAACCGTGAGGTCTTGAACAGAAGAGTTGGTAGAAATGAGTCTAGGTGCATGTTGCGTCAAGAAGGAATGAAACTACGGAGACAACCTGTGGGCGTGTGCACGAGGGGCGTGCATGTGAGATAACCAAGATGCGCGAGATGCGCGGGTTGTCGCGTGGACAACGCCAGGAAATAACAATTGATGACGTACACCCGGCCGGGCCACTCGCTAACTGGAACAAGCCACCAATCTCTGGTTGCTTTGACCGCAACATCAAAAAGGAGTTACCTCTAGTACAGTCAATGGAGAAATGTAAGAGACGTATTGAGTGATGCAGGTAAGCTTATCGGCCTGACTTTCAAATGGCATCTAACTAACGTAAATGCTTCGTAGTAGCTCGTCTGGACTATACACAAGGGTGCCTCGCAACTGGACGTTGAATCGTCAATACGTTCATTTTTCCGACGATGCTTACCTGTGTGATATGCGTATCATGTCTTTGCAAAATCCTATTGCAGATACCGCGGGGGAACATGCAGATAGTCAACAGAAGCAGGTACGCGTAGTTTCGAGGGCACTGAATATCAACAATGAACTAATGGTCAAATCGCGGCACTTGTTCGAGTGATGGCACGGCGGATGGTGTATCTACGAGCACCAGTGAGCACTGACTTGATTCGGTCTATGGTATCAGAGAATCTAGCGGTCTACTATGATGTAGCAGAGCTGTATCGAAAGTTGTCTTGGGGCAGTCCGTCAAGCCAAAGCCCATCTTACCTTGTTCATTTGTACTGCTACGACGGAAACGGTCAAAAGTAGCCGACTAAAACTCCATCCTTGCTGGATAACTGCTTTGGAGGTTGACAATGTGCCCCATGCAAGTTCCAGTGGGATGGCCACGTGTTTCTATGGACCTTGTACACGCAAGACTGAATCCGCTGTCCTCATTCGTGAGCACAGTCAACAACTTTCACGTCCAGAGTGTGTGATACTAATAATCAATCGCAAAGGCTCACGAGCTAGGGGCCTTGATGTTGTTCCGAGGGCCGTCTTTCGAAAGACAGAGTGTTCCATCAAGGCAGGAGGGTTTCGAGCGCACGAACCAACTACCTAGGTGTCAGATGTGCAGAGAGTACCTAGTTAAGTGAAACAGGTAAGTCAAATCTAGCCGAGTTGACACAGCTCAATGCTCTCTTGTTGTGAGAAGGATCGATATGCTTCTGAGCCTAGATGAAAGAACAGTGCTGACAAACTTCCAATTAGATGGAGTATACAATGGCGGTCTTGTCGACGACAATCGCTGCAGATGCCTTCTCCGCCCTCTTATACGACTGAAACTCGCCGTGGCGGCGGCGCTCTGCCGCGCTATGTGTTGTCAAACAAGACATATAGCAGGTTAATTACACATCGCACCATCTTGTAAAAAGTGAGAAATGCGTGTCGGCCTTACATTATGGACAAGTAGACGGCGCGCTCTGAGGAAGACTCTAGTTTCCAAGATCCCTAAAGCATGGTGCGACGGACCCGATTTGTGAGTTTATCTATGGATTGTTCATGTTGCGCCATTCCATTCTCAGTTTCCCTCAGTCACGTCTCGGTTGCCATCTCTACGAAACGCCGTAGTCGTCACAATAGTTCATTTCAGAAACCACATGCTGCTATCTAGCAAGAGTAGTATCTGATCACCGGTTACTAAAACGATCCGACAGCGCTGGCAGTCACCATCTCAGACTCCTGTTCATGCAAGAGGCAAAGAGTAATATCAGGCTTTCTAGCATGTCACAGGGATATAGCAGTGCTGAGTGAGATTCGATTCGCCATGCTGTGGTGATTTTCATCATCAATCAATACAGTCTTTGTTCTCATTCTATGGTGTTGAACATGTCGGACGTTTATACCTACCCTTCATATGTCTGTCAGTTAGCATAGCTGCCAATATCTTTCGTAGGTGGTACAAACTCTCTCATTATTTTCAAACCTAGCGGAGGCTTTCTGCCCTCTCTCTTTTTCTTCTTCTTCTTCTTCTTCTCCTCCTCCTTCTCTCACTTGGGTCCCTGGCTTCGAGTGGTACTTCACCGCTCATCACCTTGTGTCGTGGCTACGGAGAATCTCGTTCTTCCAAAAGAGCATGGATATCGTGTTGATCAGTCACATCTTTTCCTCACATTGTGCCATAGACGTTGCAGCTGCTCTAACCACACCGCATCTCCTTGTGGTACCTTGACATCAGCGTCCATATCAGTTGACACACGGGCTGCCCATACATACTCACAGTGAAATCTTCCTCCTTCACCTGAGCCACAGAAGCTTCTCGCCTCTCGCTTGTTGCTGTGGTCGTCGTCAGGCACCAGGATCTCCAAGGAAGGCGCGCTAAGAGACACTACTGCGTACTGGTCCTGCTCCTTCTGTCAATACAAACAACAACGGCTACTCTCACCGTGACTTCCAGCTCACCTACCTTGACCACCCAGCGATCGTCCACGCTACAATTTATAACCTCTTTCAAGCAGTAGCTGCACGCACTACATCCTCTCATCTATACCATGTCTGACACTGGAGCGCCTGTGGCAACTGCGACCGATCCCGCTGCAGCCCGCAAGGAGCAGCAGGCAGCTGATCTCGCGCGTGCTCAAGATGCTGGATGGAATAATCCTGTCCCTTTTCAGTACGAGACCGTCGTTGGTGGCACTCCCGCTGAGGACGAGACCCGCGACACTGCCGTCTGGCTGTCTGATGCCGCCATTTACCAGTGGGACGATGAATTTGGTGACGTGGGCGAGCCCAACCCAGAGTTGGAGAAGATGCTGTTCGACGACCAGTATCTCCAGCGCGCCGGCGGTGCCATCAAGGCGCTCTCGTTCGACATAACTCTCGAGGGTCCCACCAAGATCAGCCCTGTCCGCAACGTGAGTCACACAAACATTGACTTATGTGTATTCGTAGATGCTTCTGCTAATATCTCTAGTTTGAGGATGCTGGTCTCCACCCTGTCATGCTCGACAACGTCAAGTTGTGCCAGTACCGGGCTCCAACTCCGATCCAGGCCTACTGCATCCCCGCCATCTTGTCCGGACATGATGTTGTTGCTATCGCTCAGACAGGTAAGTCACCTCGAACACAATCCAGTCTCTTTTCGCTGACACTGCTTAGGTTCCGGCAAGACTGCTGCCTTTCTCCTTCCGATTCTGTCAAAGCTCATGGGCAAGGCCCGTCAGCTAGCTGCTCCGCGTCCAAACCCAGTCCGGTACAACCCTTTGACCGACAAAGTCCGCGCTGAGCCGCTCGTCCTCATTGTTTGTCCCACTCGTGAGCTCGCCTGCCAGATTTTCGATGAGGTGAGAGATATTTCCTACACTACCGAGTACCCCAAGGACATTCGCTGTGTTTTATATGTACAAAGTACAACATAAAACACAGCGTGCACCTTTAGGGTGAACTTTACAGATGAGACACATACTGACTGCATACACACAAACTTTAGGCGCGTCGACTGTGTTACCGCACTATGCTGCGTCCTTGCGTCGTCTATGGTGGTGCGCCTACCAAGAACCAGCGCGAGCAGCTCGAGATGGGTTGTGACATCCTCGTCGCCACTCCGGGTCGTCTCATGGACTTCATGCAGAATGTCAACCTGCTATCATTCCGCCGTCTCAAGTAAGTCAAGCAAGCTCGCGACGTGGTTGCATCACTAACCATTATAAACAGATTCACGGTCATCGACGAGGCTGATGAGCTGCTCTCGACTGGCTGGGAAGAGGCCATGGAGAAGCTGTTCCAGGGTTCGGGTATGCTAGCGTTTGCAAACATCAATCCTTATAGCTTGCTATTAGACTCATCTTTTCCATCATCTGCTAACAATCTCTCTAGATCAGAACTCGGATGCTGACCACACCTACCTCATGTTCTCTGCTACCTTCCCCAAGTCTGCTCGTAGATTGGCGAAAGAGTATATGGATGAAGAGTGTGTCCGTATCAAGGTCGGTAGGGTTGGCAGCACCCATCAGAACATCAAGCAGCAGATCATCTTCACTGAGGAGAGCGCCAAGAGCCAGGCGCTCTTCGACTTGATCTTCAGTGAAGGACCCCAGCGCACCCTGGTCTTCACCAACTCGAAGGTCAAGTGCGACATGGTGGATGACTATCTGTACAACAAGGGCTTGCCTGTCACCTCCATTCACTCGTATGCAACAATCCTGTATGATCCCAACGTGGGACATATACTGACTTCATATTAGAGACCGTACTCAGCGCGAGCGCGAGGATGCTCTTCGTTCCTTCCGTACCGGCCGCTGCCCTATCCTGGTTGCTACCGGCGTCACTGCTCGTGGTCTTGATGTTGCCAATGTCAAGCATGTCGTCAACTACGACCTTCCCTCTACCATGCACGACGGTATCACCGAGTACATCCACCGCATCGGCCGTACCGCGCGCATCGGCAACGAGGGCAAGGCCACGTCTTTCTACAATGACCGCAACGAAGACCTTGGTCCAGATCTATGCAAGATTCTCTGGTAAGTCATGACTGATCGAAATGCATGAAATATACACTGACCTTGTATCTTCACCTCTGCAGCGAGTCGAAGCAAGAGATTCCAGAGTTTCTCCAGGAGCACATGCCCG